GGCCAGAGGTGTGGGGGATGAGAGGATACACCAGAGATATAGTGGGGAGCAGAACAGGCAGATCTACTGAAATACACTGCTGAGGCAGTCAGGAGAGGTCTGCCACACCATGTGGGTCAGCACCCTGGCCAGGAATCAACTTGTGCTGAAGTGGCTGCAGACAGCTTCATCATGTGGTGCTTTAGCTCATTGTGCCACCAGGGAGAGCCCTGTGGGAAGATTTTTAACTAAGGTTTAGTTTAGATTACTAGAGATTATTACTTCAGTTTACCTATTTTTTCTTAAAATAAACTTTGGTAGTCTGTGTCCACCCAGAAACTTGTCCTTTTCATTTAGCTTTAAATTTATAGGTAAAAATATTTTCATTGTATTTCCTTATTATTGTTTCAATAGATTCTATAATGATACCACCTTGATTGTCCCCAATAGTGTCAATTTGCGTCTTTCTCTTATTTCTCTTATCAGTATGGTCTCAGGATTTATCATCTCTAAGAATCAGTCATTGATTTCTTTCTAATCTCTAATTGTTCTGTTATTTATTAATCTTACTTTATATTTGCCTTGTCTTCTTTTTCTAGGTGTGTGTGTGTATTTTGATAGAAGTAGCGATCACTGATTTAAGACTTTATCTCTTTCCCTGAATAGGCATTTAGTGCTATAAATTTCTCCGTGTTGCTTGAGTATGCTGTGTTTTCATTTTCATTCACTTCAAGGTAATTTCTCATTTACCTTTTGATTTATTTATTGAGACCCATAAGTTACTAACAAATATGTTATATAGTTCTCAAATAATAGGGGAATTCTGTTATCAGAGATCTTTCTACTACTTTTTCTAATGTTATTTTCTTGTTATCAGAGACCATAATTAAATCCTTTTATTTTTACTTTTCCAGCTTTGTTAATATATAATTGACATACAACATTGTATAAATTGAAGGTGTACAATATGGTTTCATCCAAGTTGTCAGAAGAAGGATTTTCTTCTTTTTTATGAGTGAATCATTGATCCATTCATCCACTGAGTCATTTAGATTGTTTTCATACTTTGGCTACTTACATGGCAATAAATATGGGACACAGATGAGTATTTTCGAGACAGTTATTTGCTCTCTTTGGATCTATTGTCAGAAATAGAATTGCTGGATCACACACAGTAGTTCTATTTTTAATTTTTTAGAAAACACTATACTGGCTTCTACATTTACCATATAATTTTTTAAAAGATTTATTTACTTATGCATACATATCTGGGGTACAGGCCAGAGGTTCAGGGGCGGCAAGAGGCTTCACTAGAGACAGAGTGGGGAGGAGAATAGGCAGACTCATGAAGTACACTGCTGAGGGAAGCAGCAGGTGGGCCAGGAGAGGTCTGCTGCACCATGTGGATCACTTTCAGGGCTGGGATTGAACTCATGCTGAAGTGGCTTTAGCTTCTTAGTGCTGTCCTTTAACCAGCTGTGCCACCAGGGAGAGCCCTACTTACCATACAAAAGTGTACATGGTCCCTTTCCTCTGCATCCTCATCGGGGTTTTTTTTTTTTTAATCTCTCTTGCTTTTTATATATATAGATATATATAAGAGTCATTCTAGAAGGTCATGCCACTTCTATTTGCATTATTCTGAAAAAAGAATATTTTGAGAAAAGTTGGGACAAGAGATATAGAGTCCAAAGATGCAGTTGCCTCACAACTTGCTGGTTTTTTACATCTTCTTCCAGAAATGCCCTTTTTTTTTTTGCTAATGAGTCACTTGAATTTTTTATATATTTTACATAGAACCCCAAGTCATAAATGGATAAAAGGAAGATGGAATAATGTGGTGATCATATTATGAAACCTCTCCAATCGTCCCTCCGTCAGCATATCACTGTAGCTGCTATATATTTCTGTTATGGTACCTTTGACAAATTCTTAACCTTTAGCTCCCCCTACAAGTCTCTAATCCCTTTGAAAGCAAGGACAGTTCCTGAAGGAGGAAGGAGGAGAAGGAAATGTCTGCAAGTCATTGCTTAAGAAGTATGCATATTTGAAGGCCTCTCTGATGGCACAGAGGTTAAAGTCAGTGCTATCAAGCTATTGGCAGCATGAGTTTGATTCTCAACCAAGGAACTGACCCACATGGTGCAGCAGACCTCTCCTATTTCGCCCGCTGCCCCTTTCAGCAGGGCATTTTCATCAATTGTCCTGTTCTGCTCCCTCTTCTCTCTCTGGTGAATCATCGCACCACCCCTACCTCCTACCTCTGGCCTACACCCTAGTTCTTGTATGCCTAAAAAAATAAAATAAATCTTTTTTTTTAAAGATTTATTTATTTGTGCATACAGAGTTGGGGTACAGGCAGAGGCTCAGGGGCGGTGAGAGGCTTCACCAGAGACAGTGGGGAGCAGAACAGGCAGATCGACAAAGTACACTGCTGAGGGGAGCAGTGGGAGGGCCAGGAGAGGTCTGCCATGCCATGTGGTCACCTCTGGGGCAGGCAGGAATCGAACTCATGTGAAAGCGGCTCCAGATTTTCAGTGCTGTGTTTTAACCTGCTGCGCCACCAGGGAGGGCCCATCTTTTTTTTTTTTTTTTTAAGTATACATATTTGAGAAAAGTTGGGACAAGAGATATAGATCCAAGGGTGCAGTCGCCTCACAAGAGCATAAGGAGGTAGAATAGTAACACAGGGTCAAAGAGCTTACATACAAGTAGACTCAGAGGAGAGCAAGGAAATGAGATGATGTAAGAAAGTCCAAAGAGGTAAGAACTGAAGAGTGTTCACTGAATCTTTCAACACTGAGGTCATTTGTGGCTTTTGCCAGAATATCCTCAGTAAGGCAGATATGAGCATATTACACTAGGAGGAGAGATGGGAGGTGAAGAAGTGGAGAAGGTGAGTAGCAACCTTAGGTTAAGGAGTTTGGCCACAACAGTGGATTGGTAGAAGGAAAACAAAGGATTTTAAAAAAAACACAAAACTTTGTTTAGGGGAAAATAGATGAAGTTTTAGCTTGAGGGAGAGATGATAGGAAAGGATCAACTGAAGTCTTGGTTGAAAGTGAAGACAAGATGACAGAGCAGACATGGGCTACCAAGGACAGGAAAGACTTGAAGCTTTGGCTTTGAATAGGCACCTGCAAGCAAGGAAGGTGTTGGTGGGATATTAGAGAGGGGTATTTAGGGAGCTCAATATAGGAGGTTATATTATTCTGAGAAAGGGCAGGAGTGAAGGAAGCATCTTCTAATAGTTGCAGAGATGGCTGGATGTCACCAGTAAAAGGACTGTGGGAAAGTAAGTACTGAATACAAGTTGGGTTTGGAGTGGTACCAAACCTTCCTGCACATACACAAAACATAGCTACAGAAGTGCACAACGAAGCAACTCTGATTTCATTACCAGTTTCCTACTTATGTTCAAGGGTAATTATCCCTTAGTAGCATTTCCTAGCAATTTCATTTTAGGGACTTATTGTGTGCCTCATTAATCTCTTGTTTTCTTCTTCCAAATCTCTCTTCACCAACATCATAGATTCCCCCACCCCCGCCTTTTATTTTTGGTAGCAAAATATACATAACAAATTTACCATTTTCCCCAATCACCATCAATTAGATGTCTTTGTTCCTTTTCTTCCCCTAAATGTCAGAGCCCTCAGGATATTTATTCGTGTCCACTATTTTTTGAAAGTGTTTTATGTTATCAAGCTATCTGCTACTTAAACAGCCAGTATTTTTTCTCTTTTTTCCCCATTGGCTTGCTTTACTATACATACTTCTCTAAAATGCCACCCCCACTTTGTTGGAAATTGTTGCATTTTATCCTTCCTTATGGCTGTATAGAACTCCTTAGTGAGTACTTCTTAATCACTTCTCCATGGCCATTTAGGCTGCTTCTTCTATGTCCTAGCAACTGTAAAGAATACTACTAAGACCATCGTGGAACATAAGGAATTTTTATACTCTTTGGCTATATGATAGGAGTGTAGTTAGTGATTTCTATGGTATTTCCACTTTTAGGTTTTTAAGGTACATAATCTCCATTTATTATTCTGTTAGATTGGTTCATTAGAGAAAAAGAAAGGCATCTCAGCAAACCTCTTTGCGGGCCTTTCTGCAGAGAAGCTCAGGTCTAAGAGTTATCAGTGAGTGGGAGTTGGGTCCCTCCTTTCATTTTAAGGGTTCTATCTCGCTCTAACATTATCCTTCTCAAAACTTGATATTATGGGGGATATACTTGTCAAGAAAAAATTTCTAGTGGAATTGAGTGTATGAGGAAACACCACCATTCTGTCTTTGTGGAAGTTAAAAAATTGTTTATCATAGTAATGAATAGTTGGGTGACTTTCCATTTTAGAACTCTACCATTTAGTCAATGGGAGCATTATGAAAAACTGGATACATTGCATCACTGTGAAGGACTTAGACTGCGGTTTGCAAAAGCAGAATAAATTTTCTTAAAGTTATACAGTTATGTACACACACACTCACACACACACACACTAACGCACGAACACGCGCGCGCGTACACACACTCTCTCTCTCTCTCTCTCTCTCTCTCTCTCTCTCTCACCCATTGGCAGACACTGCCACACCTCACAGCTCTGGGGGAAGCCGCAGACCTCAGCTGTACTCGCTGCGCCTGGACTAGAGGAACTTTCCGCAGGACTTAGGACAAACAGCCCCACAGACAGGCGTGTCTGAGAGCCGGAGCCTCAGAGGCTGCAGCTGCAGGTACCCGTGCGCACGGCGTCGGGACCCGCGGCGGCGGCCGGTTTGAGACCGCGCAACTCTGCGCGGGTGTGAGCTTGCCGCACCCCCCGCGCCCCTCGC